GTTTGAGACAATATTTTGCGGGACAAATAGCGATTCTCATAAAAAAAGAACTTAGTCATAATCTTTCAAAAGTGCAGCAAATGAAGCGAATTTCTACGCTTGCAAGTGTTTTCAAATTATTGTTCACTCGTTTTTATTTGATAATTGGTACATGGCATTCCATGAATTTATTGTTAAGAGCATGTAATGATTACTTGCTATTTGATTTGCTTTCAATCGTACGGTTTTTTTATCCAAACTACCCCCTCTTACGACCCCCCCCCCCTCACCGTAGGCCCCCTTTACGACCCACCGTTGCGACAGTCGCATCACACGCTTGACCCTGCTCGAAACGCTGATTCCAAACCTATGCTCGATATCTGCGAAACAATCTTCTGAAGGAAGTTATGAACTTTTTTCGTAAAAATTTGCGTACTTTTGTGTAGTTAAAATCACTAAATTTGTTCCAAGTTACCATTTGAAGCTATTGAAGAGAATCTTAAAAGAAATACTGTTGTATTATACTTATCTAAATCATATTCAGCATTTGTGAAAAGAAGAAACTTTTTATCAGTGATTTTGACCCTCCGTAGTAGCGCAATTTATTTATGAAAAAGTAATCAAAACTCCATCCAGGTTATCGTTTTGCAGATATGGAAGACAGTATTCGAACCAGCATTAAAAGGCGCAATTTTTGATATACAAATCATTACGAATGACCGCGGTGACCAAGTGTCCTTCCCTTGTGAGGGATTTCTAGATAGGTCCAAAAACGGACGAAAGAACCGACTAGAACTTAAGCCGTCAAATCCTAAAATGATCAAGTTGTTCAGCGAAAAGTGTGATTGCCGCGCTTGTGCTAAGCAATTCCTTCATAGTTCGTCTCAATAATTAGCGGCGGTGTCTCTTCGTGCCAAACTTTACATTTTTCCCCACCCTTCTCACATAGTGAACAAGCTTGTAGTGCTCAATCTCTTTTATTGAACTTGAGTAATGGTAAATGACAATTTTATACGTTTTCCTCAATCACTTGTAATGGTGCCACATTCGGCTTCAAGCGACCGATTAATATAAATATTTTTTCTTTTCCAGAAAATGACGACTTTAGTTTTTTGGGTGTTGAACAACGGCTTTTGGCGTAATACGCTGGCCGGGTGCCGCTCTTAAGAAACATAAAGTTTTGGTCACGCAACAACCGGGATAGTTAGTGCGAGGCGGATGTATAAGGGAGGGGGATAGAGAGAATCATAGAAGAATTTAGTTGACTAGAAAATCATTTGCAGTAACTAAAACAGCGGCCCGGTGGTTTTATTTACAAGGCTCGGCACAGATGGCTTGCAAGCTAGATATTGTTTCTGGGCAAAAAGCAAAGCGGGGTATTGTTTTTGGGGCCGAAAAGACACAAAAATTGCCAAGTTTTTTTTGATCGACGTTTAGTTTTTTGATTTTTTTGTTTTTTTACGATTAGGGTTTAGGATCAAAGGGAACCTCGTAAGAATTCGCAAAAGTCAAGGGGGACTTCGTTTTTTGCAAATTCCAAAAGCCACTTCGTGCCGAACCTTGCTTATTAATAGCCATCACGGTACAAAGTATTAGCTGTAACAGAATTAATGCAGGTTTTGAATTCCAACCGTAATAAGTCATACATTTCTCATTTCTAAGTAGGTGGTTGCAAATTACCATTCGACAGAGCAAAGCAATCTCTATAAGGTGGCAGTCTTGCTTTAGTAGCAACTCTGATCCACAACGAGTTTCGAGCCAAAAACTAAAAAGATTCAACTGTCCGAAAAATTGAGAAAAATCGTAACTCAGTTCATAAAAAACCTACAAAACTTCTAACTTGCTCACGTAAACACTATTTACATAAGACAATCTATACACGCCTTTGCCGTATTTTTTTCTCTGCTAGAAATCAAGAAAACGAAAATTTTCGTGCACTTGCTAAAGTGATGCTGTGCCGTCCCCACATGAGTAATCGTATACTACAAACCTTTAGAAGTACAAACTTAAATTTCCAGCTCTCTACAAGCTTTAGTTCGCGAGAAATTTGAATTTTAGCTTGGACCACATGACTAGGGGAAACTGTATTCGATATTTTTCGAAAACTAAAGCTTGTAGAGAGCTGGAAATTTACGTTTGTACTTCTAAAGGTTTGTGGTATACAACTACCTATGTGGGAACGGCACAGCACCACTTCAGCAAATGCACGAAAATCTCAGTTTTCTTGATTTCTAACAGAGAAAAAAATACGGCAAAGGCGTGTATAGATGTCTTATGTGAATAGTGTTTACGTGAGCAAGTTAGAATTTTTTTAAGGTTTTTTATGAACTGAGTTACGATTTTTCTCAATTTTTCGGACAGTTGAATCTTTTTAGTTTTTGGCTTAAAACTCTTTGTGGATCAGAGTTACTGCTAAAGCAAGACTACCACCTTATAGAGATTGCTTTGCTCTATCGAATCTATTTTGCAACCTACTTAGAAATGAGAAGTGTATGACTTATTGCGGTTGGAATTCGAAACCTGCATTAATTCTGTTAGAACCTAATACATGATGAAGATTAACCCTTAATAATCATTGCCTATGGCCTACATCCACCACGGCATTCATCCTGTCATGTATTCTACTTTGGTCATAAGCGACCAAAAAGCTGTTGAAGTTTTAAGCAATTTGAAAGACGTAGTCGGCATGTTTTATATTATAAATTTTTCATCATAAAGTGTTTATTCATTTTTTTCATTTTCTTTATAAAAATAATTAATGTACACCATTCAAATTCTTCAGAGAGCAAATTCGAACCCGATTGTCAAGATAGAGAAAATAAAATTAACTGACAAACAACAGAACAAATGGATGACAAATTTTTAAGGAAGATATCATATAGTTCTGCTCACATTGTATCCAACTTTGCATATTCCAAGTTTTTCGCTCTCGAGTTTTCTTGAAACGTTGCATGCCCACAAAGGATAGCGCAATCCCACTTCCGCCCTTGACTGAAAACGAATGCTTTTATCACTGTATACGCTATTACAAAAGAAGCTGTCAAAGGCAATATCTCACAAACTTGGATGTCGCAATTTTTGCACATCACAAACCTTTCCGACCCTGCCTAAGCTTACGCGTCCCATAAAATGCAAAACCCAGCTATTGAAGGCTCAAAAAAGCAACGCTAACTGTCTTCTCACTCTCCTCCGCCTCATTGGCAGCAACGCCATGGAGGACATCAAAGCAGCGTTTGGGCAGATTTGAACATTTTTGGATACTATCATAACCGAGTACTACGGTCTCGATCTAGATTTTTCGCGCAAATTCGACTTTTAAACACCCCTGCTAAAAAAATCGGCGCAGAAGAGGCCAAGCCTCGAAGGCCGCGCCCACTCGCACTGCCCGCCCCTTGGAACGAACTCTTCCCCAGTTCTTGACGTGTTTCACGTGGCAAACACAATTGAACAGATAGTGTCTATCTGTTAATGCTTGCTTTCTACAAGGATAGCATTAGGGACACTCGTCCACGGCTCTTACAAAATTGTGAAATAGAGTTTTTGAGGAATTCACGCATTCTGGGTGCTACATTCTTAATCAGCGCCTTGAAAACGCCTGGATAAAGCAAAAAATAGAAGTCGAGATTTTGCCTGGACACTGTCTTCAAAGGCAGCATCCAGACAAATCTGGATCTATGGAGATTTTGCGTGGAAAGTAATTTTGGGGCCTTAATTAAGGCACTGCCCAAGCGCTAGCGCAGGTGACTCACTAACGGCAGGTATATACCTCCAAAGTGGATCCCAGGATCGTATTTGCGTGGATTCATGGCGCAACCCATCATGACGTGTTAATACCGTAAGGGAGGAAAGTGGAGAAGTCGGCATGCGTACCAAATCGCTTGGTGCGGACCACTTTGAGCGTGTTCTTCTCAGCGCAGAGGAGTGGTTTTCACTGCTTTCGTAGTATCTAAAATGCTTTCGGGATATGCGTCGGATTATTCCAGGTGAGATAAAGTGAAGGATTTGCGAAGCCACTGCCTTTAAAGGCAGTGTCCGGGCAGAAACTCGATTTTGGGATTTTATGGTTACCTGAGCCAATTCGCTATGCTGAGTCCGAAAATCTATACTAAAGAGCGCGAAGACGCCAAAAAAGGGCTTTAACACAGGAGGGAAATTACAGGTGGGCGGGGTGCTCCCCATTGTGAATTCACGCTCCCAGCTTTCGGAGCTATCTTGCCGGTTCCAATTTCAAGTCACGCGTTCGCATTTGGCCGGTGGCGATGTCAAGACGGCTAGCGGAATTGAGAAGATCGCTCCGGAAGCCGGGACCGTGAATTCACAGTGGAGAAGACCCGCCCACTTCTGATTTCCTTCCTCCGTTGAAGCGTTTTTTCCTCTTTTTTCCCTCCCTAGTATGGATTTTCGGATTCAGCATAGCGAATAGGCTCGAGTAAGCGCAAAATCCCAAAGTCAGTTTTTGCCCGGACACTGCCTTCAAGGTGGTGTCCAGGCAAGAATTCGCTGTTCATTTTTTTCGCCTTTTCGGATCCTTCTCGTCATGCTGAATCCATATTTTTGGCTTTACAACACATGAAAATGGCGAAAGCCTTTTCGAATCTCTTTATGTTCGCTGAAAAACACGTCTGACACGTGTTAGTGGGTGGACTCTGGAAGAGTCCCAGAGTGATTTAAGCTTTCCAGATGCGCTTTTTGGCTCCACGCTTTACTGATAGATGGATTGAGGGGGGGGGGGAGCTTTATAAGATCACAGTACCTAACACTTTGCCGGGACGCTGCCTTTACTGTTGCATGCTACAAGTACTCTAGATCAAATGCAGCTTCAAAGCTAGATATTCGAGAACAAGCTGACTCTCTATAGTGTGGCCGTAGTGAACTTGTGCAATAAGCATCTATCCGTTGAGTACCGAAATTCTGCAAATCGTGAAATCAATTCCTTCAATGAGCAACAACCTTACGAAAACTAACAGTGACGTGTGATTGGTCTGCTGGAAGTAAATACGTTTTGATATTGTTGCCTACAATCACTCGCTTTTGTCATTGCTGATTGAATGATTTAATGATTCGCCTTCCAAAACGAAATGGTCATCAATAATCAAGTTAAATACAGTGAAACTTACTTCTACCATAAATTCAATGAATTGGCACATTCGTCTAGCAACTTCTCGGAGAACATCCAAATCACTGAAGACATATGGAACATGATTACAGGCAATGAGGCTCATAGCGCTTACTCAAAGGGATCTTCCTTAGTCGAAATATTTTTGAATCCGCTAAAATTTCCGGTGTAGAACGCTTCCTCTAGCTGGCAGCTGTAATTTAGTCCCTGAAAATTTCATTGATATTTTACGAGAACAAAATACTCGCGCTCTACGGTGTCTTAGTACCCATTACTAAAAGGTGAACTTACGTATGCTGGAGCGAATGCTTCCAAGCAGATTTCTACATTTCTTTTCAAATCTTCTCTGTCCTGATCTACAGGAGTTCCTGGGCATTTTATCGTAGCGGTAAAAGCAAAGTTTGATATGAGCTTAATTGATATCAGGTTGCAGATATAAAAAGTTTGAAAACCTACTAGGAAAGCTGTCAGTTGCGATGGCATTGGCCCTCAAACGATTTTTCATCTATATATGTGCAAACAAATGAATTTCTGAAAAGCAAGTACTTTCCTACGCTATGAAAGCGCGCTGCAACTCTTCCAAAATCAGTTCACTTGTACTAACATAGGTGTAGTGGTCACGCTTCGAATGAAACTGACTTCCTTCCAAAGCGTTTGCACTAATTTTGATTTTGCGTATTGAACGTTTCAAAACGGCATGTTAGATCAATGTTACTGACGGAATGTTAAATTGCTAAAGAGTGGGGTTTGGATATTTTATTCTATAGATTTTTTTATCTAGATCGGTGAAAATTTCTGGCTTACCGGGGCTTGAGCTCCAAATAATTTCTGTATCCATCACCCGTAATCCGCTTAGTCGTGTTTTTTGCGAATGGGTGTACTGCGCCAATGTTGGCTATGATATTTTGCTTGAGACATATACAGTGTTGGACAAAACCTAGGTTCACTCTAAAAATTGCCATAACTCACTCTGTTGTTAATGAGATGTTCCAAAATTTGGTTCCGCTGTGATTATCAGTCTAGTACCAATCATAGAAAAGGTCTCGTTTTCGTTTGGTTATTCAAGAAAAATCAAAAATTTGAAAAAAAGCAGGATTGAAGGCTGGTCAAAATCATAAGTCCAACTGGAGTTTTCGCTCATTAAAGCACTTCCTAGCTTCCGAATTTATTCTAGGTAGGTACACATTTAGAAGTATAAACAGTTGCTTTAGTCGAGCTGTGTCGTACCTTCAGGAGACCGATTATCTACTTTTTGCTTCGAAAATACTTTCACATGTACGATTTCGCCCCAGAAATCTGTGTTTGGTAGAAAATCCGCAGTTTCCCAGCTGGTTCGGAAGCGACGGAGTTTTATTTAACTTTTAGATACTTTTTGACATGAGCATTGAGGAATCTGACTTATTGCTGCTGAAGCAAATTCAACATTGACCATTCAGCGCCCTAAAACCCTTGCTTCGTTTTCACAATCCATTGTGACCTTAAAATATAGTAGAAGCATTCTTTAGACAAGAAAAAATCTGTCGCCGTACTAGCAAGTTCCAGAGTTGCCCTTTGATTCTTGGATCTCCAGAAAATTGTAACTCTGATATACGGAATCCTCTTTGTACAAACAATGTCTTTACTCTAATTAATGCTTCTGAGAAAATTGCAGAAAAACTTGAAAGCAAAAATATGAGCTCAGGATTGCAGTAATGCTAATTTGGATGTGTTTTAGCAGCAAAAAGTCGCATTTTTCTTTAGTGCTCACATCAAAAAGCATCCAATAGAGAAATCCCGTCGCTTCCAATTTAGCTGAGAAACTGTAGAATTTTTTACTCAAAGCAGGTTTCTAGAGCGAAAACATATGAAAGCATTTTCAAGGCAAGAAATCATATAATCATTTCTTTTGGAGGTACGACACAGCTTGACTAAAGCAACTGTTTAACACTTTTGATGTTTACCTACCTAAACAAAATTCAAGGCAGTAAGTGCTTCAGTGAGTAAAAACTCCAGGTGGACCTATGATTTTGACCAGCCTTCCATCTTGTTTTTTTTTTCAAAATTTTTGATTTTTTTTTCTAAATAACCAAACGAAAACGAGACTCATTTCGATGACTGATAGTAGGCTGGTAAACACACGGCAGTGCTTACTTTGGAACATTTCAGTGACAACAAAGTGAGTTATGGCATTTTTAGAGTGGACCTATCATTTTCAGCACTATGTATAGCATCTCGTATATTAAAAAGAATGCTTTATATTTTCAATTATTTCACACTTTCCAACCCTTACTTTTATTTTACTACTTTCCCTTACTTTTTATTCCGAAGTTTGTTCCACTTAATATACGAGAACTTTTGTCTGATCTTCAAACACTACATACTTTACGCACATCATTATGATGCTTTTGGGAGATATTGTTGATGCTACCTTGATCGGATACGTCAGATCGAATCTAATTTCTTTTAGATTTCACTTCATAGTTTCAGTCAAGTATGAAAAATGGTAAACGGATCAATCAAGGATTCCATTTGCTCACAAGCATGGCGTGTCCAGAATTTTCGTTTATTCTGAGTGAGTAGCGTCAGCCACGCACCCAGACAATTTTTGGTACGCTTAAATTTTTTGCGGGCCCATAACTCCGAAATTTCAGGAAAAAATTTGAAAAGTTTCAAAAGTCATTCTAATCATTTACATTTATAAAGAAGTCGCTCGCACATTTTTATAACTCATGTAAGTAATTTTCAAAAATTCCGCGACCCAGTCTCGGGGGGGGGGGGGGAGGCCTTCCCGCGCAATCACCTCGGTACATCACTGCTTACAAGGGACGCTTTTGATTCAAAGTATTTTCCCCAACAAAATAAAAATCAGCTTGTTGAGTCCTGATTTCGAATACTTTCCAGTTTTCCGAAAGGTTTTTTGGACAAAGTACAAGCATCTACTTGAGTTTAAATTGCGCTAATCTCCACTATTTGCTGCAGGTAAGGAAAAGAGGGATTTTTAATCCTTTTCTTTTGAGTTTCTCGTATTTTGCGAGTTTATTTCAGGACCTTTAGAAAAGTGACTTCGGAATAATTTCGCATTCAGATGGAAGTTGTAAATGCTCTTTGAAAGCAGAAAAATGCTTCTGGCTTTTCTTTTTTGTTCATTTTTCATACATATGCACATATGCTGTTCACATGTTGTGGGAAGATTCGCTTCCGCGGTATGCTAAAAATGTCTCATACTTACCGCAGAAACATTCAAACCATAAATTTCTTTTGTTTGGGGAAAGCGCTGTAAAAGCTATTGGATTGTTAAAAGCTCTACCCGTTTTCGAAGTTCAAGTTAGATGCCATAATTTTCTTCAGAAATTGCGAGCAGAGTAAAGTGTAGTACTATCTGAAAATCTTCAAAGATTCTTTGCACATCCAAAAATTATCGCAGCAGCAACGAAAAAGGTTTTCTAGACAAAAAATTGCAGGCGTCCTTCTTAGGAACCTCTACTTAGAGAAACCATAATTCTATTCGGAGGGTAGTAGAACTGCTCATGTACTGCTCATTGTGTAGCCAATTTAGATGAGGCAATCATGCTAGCGTTGGATTTCACTTTCCTTCATAAGATTTTGAAATGTGGCGTTCGTTTGAATAAAGCGACATTACTTTCGGTACGACCTAATATATCTATTTGGGATTTGGAACGCGCCATCACTGCTGTTAGAGATTTACAAATAAACTGTTAGGTTGGCTAATAAATAAGTTCGTTTTGACATGCAAATCCAAAGTTTCATAACAGTCTACTTGACAACTATTAAGCTAGGATTTTTTCGTGAGAAGATAGCTTCAAACGTCTACTCTCACACGCCAACTTTTCAAAATCTCTGTCACTAGAAAATGACAGTCCACCCTTATAGGGTTAGACTTCTGAAAAAAAATCGCTTTTGAAACTTTCTATATTTCGTTCTCAACCTGCAGTGAGTACAAAGGCGAGTGATACGGATGCCGAATACATCGCCTCTGGCTACGTGGCGAACCACAGTGGAGAGTGTGACTTGCTGTTTCTGAACTTCTGCAGCCAAAAATCTGAAAATTTTTAAGCACTCGCGCGTGAAAGTCAAATTTTGGGCATTCCAGATCGCTCTGACCATCTATGGCCATGCAAATGGTTAGAAATATGATAGTTTGTTGTGTGGGCACCGAACTACATTTTACACCTGAGTTCAATTTGTTTTTAGGAGCGTGATTTTTCGGAAATTTGGGGTAAAAATCTGACTATTCTTTTTTCCTGCACCATTTTGTTATCAGAAAAATTATCTTTAAGAATACAGAGTCAATCTTCCGATTTTATCAGATTTGCTCTTTCCAACGTTACCAGATATACACACAAAACCTGATTTGCGACAATTCTACAAACCGCTAAAACGACCGAACTTACTTTTTAGCCAACCTAACATCATTAGCGAAATTTTGTGGAATACAGTACAGTGAATTGTAATTTTCCTTGAGAAATAAGAAAAGGTGGCATAACATTTTGAAGAAATCTAGCAAATGTCACTCAAATGTGCCTTCCCATATTGACCTTTCCATAACACACTACCATAAAAGGTGCTTACAAAATTGTATGGAACCTGTTCATAACTTTGCTCTTTTAAATGCGAAAGTTTGCACATTCACCTACAGCTGTCCTTCATAGCGAGATTATCGATTAGCAACCAAATGATGTTTCAACAAAACTTGCAGGACAAGATTTTCAAAGTTAATAAGCGCATCACAATGTGGACAATCCAGATTGTCAGTTTGTGTCTTTATGTGTCTTTATCTTCTTCTGCATAAACTTTCAAATGTTCTGTCCTTGGATGAAGCAAATGAGCTGTCTGTAGCATTTATAATTTCTACTTAGAGTTCTCTAAAAATATTTTAGTGTTGCTGACAAAACACAGATGAACTCCTTAATTGTCACTTAAACAATTATTCAACTGGCAGCTCTGCTCGAAATAAATTAGGGTTACTAAGCTCCATTTCTCATACAAAAAATACAGCAGTTTTCGTGACTCTTAATTGCCTTAAATGTACGTGTGTAAACAAAAAACGTCTATAAAATCTCTAACTCGTTTTGCAGTACAGATGACTCAGATCTCCTTGATTTTCTTATTAGTAAGTAGTAGTCTCGTATTCTCTATCTTGTACGTCATTTTGGTGAAACGCTACTTGTTAATGAGGTGGGGCACCACCCCCAAGATGCTGTGGCCGCCGCAGACCCCTTTTTCCAGATTTTGGGGGTCGGGGCCCGCAAAATTTTGAGAAGCCCCCCCCCCTAAAAATTTTTCGGAGTGCGTGGCTGACGCCACGCACTTTCATCTGAAAAAATTTTTTGCCGAGCCCCCTCCCCCCGAGCCGAAATCCTGGGTACGCCACTGCTCTCTATTACTGTGGGATTACGGTCTGAACTTTCAGGATACAAAGTCACTGAAAAGACCCTTTGATGTATTTTAAAAAATCTGAAAATTCGTGTAGCAAGGTTTTCAGG